ACTGGCTATGGCGACTCAGCGCCCAAACAACTCACTGTTCACATACACCGGATCACCCTGGATATCCCACACGCGTCACTCTGAACACTCACACATACACACACACACTTCACTCTAAACTGCAGCTATGGCAGCTATGGCTGCCTCTACCCTATCGATATGCTATGCTCCTTCTCTCTCGCCCACTTCAGCTCTGGGCTCACTGCAGACCTCCTTGCACAAGTCGCTGTGGCAGCGTTTCCGCATGGCTCACGCAGGAATGAATCCAAGGCTGGGCGTTGCCTCTTGATTTATACTTCTGAAACTCGTTGGTCTGCCCTCTTCCATCGGCCCATGATGCTCACAGTCCCTTGTGCTACTTGCTGGACCGGACTGGGACTGACTGGACCTGACCGCTGACTGAACGGGGACTCACTGCTATCCCACCGGGATCGTACTGCAATCGCACTGCGGTTTAGTCCACCACTTGACTCACCACTTGACCACTTGCCCACTTGCCGACCTTCTAGAAGGACTACAGCTAAGACTTCTGGAACTCGCTAAGACTTCTATTCTACCGATCTACAGATCAAACCCCTACCACCTACGGACCTATGACAGCCTACCAACTGTTTATGAATACACAGGTCACAGGTACAACTCTCGGGGTCTACACAGGTACTGTATACAGATAGGGCAAGGTCTAGGGATCGAACCCTGGGATCTGCGTCTGCTACTGCAAAGAGGTGAAAACCGTTTCAATTTCCCCATTTTCCCAACAGCGGGAAAGGTAGTGGTGGGTTTAAAGAAGAAAAGAAACAGGAGGATTTGTTGTGGGAACTAGTAACAAGCAGACTGCAAATCAAACATGTTGACAGTCTTGAAAAAGTGATCTCTTGCGAGCGCCTGCAAAGCACTGAAGATTTGACATGTAGTGTTGATAGCTTTGTTATGTTTCCAGAAAAAAAGATTCTGTTTTTTGAATCCAGAAATCAGTACTACTAAAGTGGCTATACATACCAACTTTTTCACAGATCTCTATGCTTTGATAGGAACTGGAAGTTTTGAAACTGGTTGGTATAGACATGAAGTGATCGCGTTCATCATAAATTGCTTGTGTAATGTGTATATCATTCAACCACAAGGCATCCATCGCTAATGTTCTAGCCCATTCCGTAATTGACAAGTCAACTTCGGTCAATGGTGTGTACCTTTGTGGTTGCCTTGTGCATGACTGACCAGGGGAGGAGATTGTGCAGTCCTATATCGATTGTACACACGCCACGGTGAGCCAACGAAGAGCAAAATTGAGAGATAACTGGGGATTCCTCTGCAACTGTAAGTGCTGCGTTCTTGAGAGCTCACAACTGTCGAAAAAGGCAGTCAAGGCCATCGCGAAGATTGGGAGATGCATTACACCTCAGTCTTCCCCTAGCACCGGCAATATCACAGCTGCATTCATGTGAGTGATGCTCCTTTTTTTCTCCCTCTATAAATGAGAATTCAGTTACAGAAGAATTCGACTCAAGCAACCAAACTTTTTGGCCTTCCACGAGAAGTAATAGGTTATGTGGGTTGGGGTGAAAGTACAGCTCGCAGAGGAGTATTTCGCCCTACCCAGCATGGATTACGCATGCAGAGGAGTATTCCACCCTACCCAGCATGGATTACGCACACTTCTTACCCTACCTGTTGAGTGCTCGGTTTGAATCCAACATAGGGAGCTGCTCCGTGTTAAAAAAAAAAAAACTCTACGACCAGTATGGTCAACCGACATGTCGTGTGTGCACATCCATCCAACTGTCAGTGCATCCGTTTGTCTCTGTGTGTCCCTCCGTCCATCCCTCCGTCCATCCCTCCGTCCATCCCTCCGTCCATTCCTCCGTCTTTTCCTCCATCCTCACGTACGTTACATGCTGAGCCTGCACACGGACCCCGTTTCGAAAGCCCGATGGTTGCTGGAGGCCCACGACCAGCCTCTGGGGCGCAGGGCTCAATTTGAGGCAGCGTTTATTTATTTATTGATTTATTTGGTGTTCTATTTTTGTCTGTTTCAGGCGTCGTTTCGTACTTGCAGTGCGTCCAAACAGACTTACGGTCTGTTCGGACCGAGGCCACATTTTGGGCCTACTCCATTCCTGGCCAGGCCCTTTCGGGCCAGATTCAGTTTCGTCCGGTAGCGGACACTCCCTGCTGCATCAGCAGGGAGGACCTGGACGCCCGGTAGGGACCCAGGAAGGGCGGTCAGGACCGGGGGCACACCAGTCAGGCCCAGCGCTATAGATAGCTGGACCAGACCAGTGCACCACACACAGTTCGAGTAGCTCACTTCTTGGGCGACACGCTGCTGGAGCAACGTTATACAGAGTAGAGGTGTAGATAGGGAGAGAGGCGGTGACCATACATGCAGCCGCGGAGTACTTACCTGGGCGCCATAGCTGGACTTTCCGCCAGCGACCTGCAGCACAGAGAGACGCGCCAACGCGTTAGTACATGGCGGCAGTTACCTGCAGGTGAGACAGCGAGGAGGACAACATCTGCTTCTTCTTCCTGTTCTCGCCCTCCATCTCTTCTTCTTCCTCCTCCTCCTCCTTCTTCTTCTTCTTCTTCTTCTTCTTCTTCTTCTTTCAGAGAGAGAGAGAGAGAGAGAGAGAGAGAGAGAGAGAGAGAGAGAGAGAGAGAGAGAGAGAGAGAGAGAGAGAGAGAGAGAGAGAGAGAGAGAGAGGTTACAGGCAGAGGTTATATCGGGCTATGAGGCCCAGGATCTGATTCGACATTTTTGTGGCAGACATTCATTGGACATTCGGCAGGGAGACTATTTTTAGACTTCGCTATCGCGGTCTTGGTCTTCTCCCTCATCTCCATCTTCGTCTCGCCCCTTCCTCCCTCACCTCATCCGTGGTATCTCCCCATGTGTGTATCAAAGGAGGGTTTCCTTCTATGTATGAGGTCCCTCCTCTCTCACATGTGTGGTGTGTGATGGGCTAGGGGTTAGGGGTTAGCGTTGAGGGTTCAGGGTTTAGGGTTTTAGGGTTTTAGGGTTTAGGGTTTAGGGTTTAGGGTTTTAGGGTTTTAGGGATTAGGGTTTCATCACTTTGTGGATCCTTGGCTACATACCTCCCTTTGTTTCACCCCGGTCAATTCCCTATGTACTGCTGTGAGGCATTCCTCTATCTGTCTTTTCACCCACCTGTTCACCCATGCAACATTTGTTTGTCTGTCTGTCCATCAGCCAAACCCACACTGGGTGTTGATGCCTGAAGGTTCCTTTTGGCTGGCCCCTCGGCCGTGTAGCCCTTTTCCAACGCCCTCAGCTGGCTGGCGGGCCTTGGCCATTACGAGGGCCCTAGGGGAGTGAGTTCCCGAGTAAGTATGTATGTATTTTGTCTGTTCGACTCCAGGCATGTGTGTATTTCTTCTTTACTTCAGTTCTATTCAGTTTGCTTTGTTTTCGACTGCTGCATGTTTGGTTTGTATAGGTACAGGCTGTTTTTCTTGCTAGTTTGTTTTATCCTGTTCTAGAGTTGTTTCTCAGGACCGTGTCAGAGCATGCATGAGTTTCTGTTGTTAGGACCTCTGTCATATACAGAGAAGAGTGTTCTGTGTGGCAAGGAAGATGAAGCCACATTGTAGGAGATACTCAAGGTATGATCTTGACACATGTAATGACCCGCCAAAACACAGACTGAGAACACTGCTGATTTCTGGGTTTCGCCACTGGAATGCATGCCTTGCTGAGATTCCCGCGATTTGCTGGGTTTCTAAGTCTGTGTGTGTGCGTGCTTGCTTGTCGGGTGCCTGTCTGAGTGCACGTCTGCCTGAGTGTGTATGTGGCCCGACCGGGCACTTGCTTGTTGTGAGGCCCGTGGGGGCAGGTACTTACCTGTGGCCGTGACTTTGAGGGTTGCAGCGGGGAAGACGCCAAGTAGCGGGGAGTAGGCCCGCGACACTTAGGGCGGACGAAGAACTCTCAAGTAGCAGGTAGGCCGGTACCACTCAGGTACAGGTGGATGTGTCAGGAACTAGAGGCCGAGCAGAAGAAGACAAGAAGTTGGCATTTTTAGAGGCCCAGTAGCGATAGGCTAGAGGTAGGCGGGTACCAGTCCAAGTAGCCTGAGTCTAGGGACATGTCAGAAGGAGGATCCCGGATTAACGTGCAGTCTCTGGCCAAATAACGCTAGGGCTGAAAATAGGCCTAGTCCAAAAACAAGTTAGATAATATGATCCAGATCAGCTCATAATGCAAAACTCAAGAAGAGACAATGCCAAAAATAAAAAATAAAAAATAAAAAAAATTATGTTGCAAGTCTTGCAACTCACTTAAAAGGACAATGGAAGAAGAATGAGAAAAAGGAAGACGAAGAATGAAGGAATGAAGAAGGAACCAATGTCATCTTCCCTTAGCTCGCCTCCGTCAACTCACCCCATATCATCCTCCGTCATAGTATTAATAATACTAAACAACAATGGTGAATTATTGATTCAGAATCAACGTCCGATTAGTCCCTCTTTACTGCCATCCAGACCCATCCTTGTAGAGAACCCACCATTGGGTGTCTACACCTCCTTTGTACCTGAGTATGGCATCTGGCTATGGCGGAAGATCCAAGCCCTTCTCGGGTATTCAATGGACAATGTGAATGCTCCCATGCCCTCTCCAACAGCTACCGCCAAGCCCACACTTCCGGATGAAATACATAACCCACTGGCACGCCTTCAGTGGCCTTCCTCATGCAGTGCCAACCTCAGAAATAAAGATGCGTGTCCACCATCGCCAAGTGTCAGTCTCCTTCCCCGTTCCCTAATCCTTCCTCCTCCTCCTTCTTCGACTAAACCTCCATTTCCTAGCGAGAGATCCTTCTCCCCCACCTCTACTACACCCCCATATCCCAGCTAGAGATCCTCAGATGCATGTTCTTCTTCTTCTTCTTCTTCTTCTTCTTCTTCTTCTTCTTCTTCTTCTTCTTCTTCTTCTTCTTCTTCTTCTTCTTCTTCTTCGTCGTCGTCGTCGTCGTCGTCATCGTCGTTGTCTTCTTCTTCTTCTTCTTCTTCTTCTTCTTCTTCTTCGCCGTCGTCGTCGTCGTCGTCTTCACCGTCTTTGTCGTCGTCTTCGTCGTCTCCGTCGTCGTCGTCGTCGTCTTCGTCTTCGTCTTCGTCTTGGTCTTGGTCTTCGTCTTCGTCTTCGTCTTCGTCGTCGTTGTCGTCGTCGTCGTCTTCGTCTTCGTCTTCGTCTTCGTCTTCGTCTTCATCTTCGTCTTCGTCTTCATCTCCGTCGTCTTCGTATTCGTCTTCATCTTCTTCGTCTTCATCTTCGTCTTCGTCTCCGTCGTCTTCATCTTCATCTTCGTCTTCGTCTTCATCTTCTTCTTCTTCTTCGTCGTCCTTCTTCGTGTTCTTCTTCTTCTTCTTCTTCTTCTTCTTCTTCTTCTTCTTCTTCTCTCTTCTTTGTCCTTCTTCTTCTTCCTCTCCTTCTCCTTCTCCTTCTTAATGTCTAAAGGAGCGCGTGAGGGAAAGAGAAGCCTCCCAGGGAACAAAGGAAGATCAAAGCAAACCCTTCAAGCGTTCAAAACATTCTCTTGTCTCTATCTCTATCTGTGTACTTCTTAAGACTAACCCGGTCCTCAGCTGATGCCACCCGTCGGGCCCAGCACACATCCCTGGCGTGTGAGAGGTACCGGGGGGTGGTGTCCCATCGGAGACCGCAGGGCAGAATATAATATTTTTCAATCGAGATGCACAGGGCTCATCTTGGAATACAAATACATAGCGGAGCGCCGCATCCATTTGATGGTTTTTTTTTTTTTTTTAAATCACCAGTACCTCCGCCAGTGTTAAGAAATTACAATGTCTTGGCCAGTACCCGAACTTTTCGGGGTGGGACACAGGGTCGGCAATGTCCCATAAATATAGTGACGGAAAAAAGGGAAAAAAAAAATGCTTTCTCTGCTGCAATGATGTTGAGCTGGGTAGTCCAGGAGGCCGTTCTCACAATTTTCCTCCACAGAATGCACCTTACAGGTAAGGCGGTCACATTCTGAATGTTACTGTTTTCTTTTTTTTGTTGGTCGTGTGTTTCTTATGAGTCCCCTGTCCGTGAATTGCTCAAGCTGTCCGTGATCTGCTCAAGCTGTGTTTTGTCAGAGGATTGTAAGGCTCATCACACTGGCACTTAGGGGAATGTATCGAGCCATTTTCACGGTCGGATCCATGTGCCCGTTTTTTCCCCCTTTTATTCTCTTTTTGGAATCTGACAACCTGGCCACGGGGCTGAGATGCCCTCATTGAGGGCACACTCACACTACCACTTCCAAGAATGTATACAACTGCAATCATGGCCAAAGCTTTGTTTCCTTTTTTTTTTTTTTTTCTGAGGTTCACGGCTGCAACTTTTCTTCTTCTTTTTTGTTTTTTTTTGTTCTTTCCATGAGAGTACCAGAAAGAAAATGGAGTGGTACCCAGGCTCGGCAAAACTCGGAGCGCAGTGAAATTCAGGGTCGGCAAAAACAGGCTCGGAGGTACTGGTGGTTTAAGTAGGTTCGTTACTTCTTTTCAGTAGATCCGTTTAGTTGTCGTGTTGGTGGCCCCTGCGCAAGGATGACACACATAGACACACTTGGGGAGGGCGCAGCGCGACCGGGAGCGCTGCACCCCGCCCATCTTGCAGACGGGCTATGGAGATGTGGGTAGGTGCGGACAGCGCATGGCGACGAGAGGCGACCGGGTGCAACAGCGAGAGTGGACGCGGCGCATAGCGACGAAGGATGACGGGGAGCTGTGGTGAACGGAGTGGTGCGAGGGCATGTGGCGCATGGTGATGAAGGGCGATGGGGAACAGAGGCGGGCGAAGAGGTGCGAAAGAAGATGGGTGTGGGCAGGGCGTGTGATGAGTGGCGACGGGCAGAAGGAAGAGGGTGTAGGGCGGGGGCTTGGGGGGGTTGCTCTATCGCTTGCTACTTTGTCTCGCCGTTGGAGTCGTCATCAGCTACGGGGCACTCGTGAAAGTTTTCCTCTTGAAGACATATGAGTATAGGGCGGATTTGTTGAAGGGGCAACGGATTGGGTTGGTGATGAGGTCTCCTCTCCTCTTTTTCTTCAAGAGGTAGGTAAGTGGATATAGATGGATGCTTGAACCCCCTGCGGCGCCTTGTTAACGGGTTTGGCAAGGTGGAGCTGCACTGTTTTCTTATTTCCTTTTGGAAAACGGAAGACGACCGTTAAAGTTTTCGGTGCTAGCGTTGCTCAGAGCCTAGGTGCTGGCAATGGGAGGTGGTTCTCCTCCCCCGAAGATGCTGGGGTAGGGTTTGAGGGAGCTATGGTAAGGTGGGGGTTGTTGATGGAAAAGGGAGAGGGAGTATTTTCTGGATTGTTGCTCTTATCGTGCGTCCTACATTAGTTCGGAGGTCATGCTCAGGGTTGTTAGGGTGTTGGTCTATCCTGATGTGAATACTGATTACGTTTTCATGATTAGTCAAATAGGTTTTCCTTCTCACTTTTTGAAAAGTTCGAATACAAATATGAAAATACAAGAGTCATAATCTGGAACTCGTAAGTTAGAATTCTCTCAACAAGGATTTCTCAGCTCTCAATTTACATAATCGTTTTTGTCTAGTGTCATTCTCAAAATTTTCCAAATATTTCTGATCTATCTTTGATTTTCTTCTTAAATTTTCCCATTGTTGAGGTTCGAAATCTAATTTGAACATCGCTTTTGAATACCTAATTCTAAATTTGTATATTCTCGTATTTCTTTTCTTAAATAGTATATCCCCTGTATGCAATTGAATTCTTACGTTGTTTGAGTCGATATGTTGTTTTTCTTAATTTGACCTAATTCTACTCGTTAGATTCTGAACAGGGGCCTTATGAGATGGTCAAATGGAATATCTCGTAGTGTCTGGGGTTTTCTTCTTTTGAAGTAGGGGGTGGAAGGCATCAAAGGATTCTTTGCAAGGATAGAGAGGGGGTAAAAGAGGGCTGTTCAACGGGTACCAGCTAGGGGGAGCCCTTAGCAAATGCGATTGGCGTTGGGTAGTTAGGCTGTCCAATGGGTACCGACTGTTGAGGGCGACCTTTAGCGCGATTGGCGTTGGGCAGTGTTGTTTACTTCCTTGATGACGGAGACTGGAATTCTTGTGGGGGCAAGGAATTTCAGGGTGATGATGGTGCCTGCCCCCTGCTAAGATAAGCCATTCTCTGGGCTCCTTACGAGGACGGAGTTGGGAAGGTGAATAAGGTCCTTCCCTTCGATGATGGAGGCGAGATCTTTCAGGTCGTTTGTTTCAGGGCTTGCTGGTTTCCTATTTTTGTTCTATATTTCGTCAGAGGTTTGTCAGAGGTTGGTCAAGTCGTCAGAAGTCGTCAGAAGTGGTTTTGAAGCCAAGGCCGGGTAATGGCTCCGGCATCTCAATTTTTTCCCATTAAAAACCTAACGGGGCATCTTGTGGAGCTTTGGGGACCTGCTTTGAAGTAAGGGGCCAGGGGCATCAAATGATTCTTTACAAGGACAGAGAGGGGGAGGAAATAGGGCTGCTTGATGGGTACCGGCTAGAGGGGCCTCTTATTAGATGCGATTGGCGTCAGGTAGTTTAAGCTGGATGATGGGTACCGGCTGATGAGAATGAACTCTGGCGCGATTGGCGTTGGGTAGTGCTAATTCACCACCTCGACGCCGGAGACTAGGATTCTTGTGGGGGCAAAGAATGTCAGGGTCATGATGGTGCTCGGCCCCCACGGAGAAGAGGTTCTCTGAAGTTCTTCATGATGACAGAGTTGGGAAGGACGGAGGTGATTGGGAAGGAGGAAGTTGGTAGTGGCTGCGATTGGCGCTGAAATTTCGGCGGGTACCGGCCACTGGCCGCTAACTTCACCCGGATTAGTCTGCGTTTCTTCCCTTCGATGATGGAGGCAGGATTGTTCTGTGGGGGTATTTTTCCGAAAAGAGGTTGAGTGGGATGAACAGATGGTTGGATATCAAGCATCCTACAGTGAGGGGGCTAGCTTGTAGGATGGAAATAGGGTACAGCAGCAGTGGAGGTGGTGGCTCTGCTGCAGTAAGTCTTGCCGGAGTAAGGTGAAGAGGATATGATGGGGGGATCTTTGAGTTGTTTTTCGAAATTTGCCTATTTTGAAGCTTCTGTAGTGATTTTCTCAGTACATCAAATTCTTCTTAGCCCGGGATCTTACCTTTCAAAATTCTATGGAAAAAAGAAAAAAGAATGCTTTAGGGTTCTGGAGACTTCTAGCAACTCCCTTTAGGTTGTTTAATACAGGTACATTCATGGATTTGAAGGTTGTTCGATGCGAGAAAGACGTTGGCCGGTGCTGGGGTGTTGCCCTGTAACCTGCTGATTGCAGGAGCGTGAGGCCTGGTAGAGAGATCTGGGGATGCTTTGGGGGGACATTTCAAGGGACAACCAAGGGTTGCTGTTGGGACGATGCTGGCCGGAGCTGGGGCGAGTCGTGTTGCTCTGTAATTTAGCCGGGAGGGGGTGTGAGGCCTGGGAGAGCTCGACAGGGAATAAGACAGTGTTGGACAATTTTTAGAGAGTTTTGTCTGGGAGTCTAGGGGTTCTAAGCATTCGAAAAGAGGTCAACAATTATTCATAGTTTTTCAAACTCTCCTTTAATTTTTCTTGAGCTTCTTCAATAGGTCTCAGATTGATCCTCAGCCTAAGCCGGGTAATGGCCCCGATATCTCAAATGACTTGTGTAACTCTATATGGGACGCTGGGCCCGATTCCCAGCACGTGCGGCTCCCCACGAATAGATTGGAGCTTTTKTTCCAAAAAAAAAAAAAAAAAAAAAAAAAAAAGTTGTCGTTTTGTTTTTTGCCCTGGTGAGGGGCACGGATTTGGGCATAGTTGCACTTCTCGGGATCCAGATGCACAGGCTGTTTCTTTGACGGGCGCGGATTTGGGCATAGTTGCACGTCTTGGGATCCAGATCCACAGGCAGTTTCTTTGACGGGCGTGGATTTGAACATAGTTGCACGTCTCGGGATCCAAATGCACCGTCAGGGTTTGAACATAGTTGCATGTCTCGGGATCCAGATGCACGGGTAGGATTTGAACATAGTTGCACGTCTTGGGATCCAGATGCACAGGCAGGATTTGAACATAGTTGATCCAGATGCACAGGCAGCTCTTTGTCACTTTCTGCTCACTTGGATTTTGTGGGGAGAGATTTTCGAGCATCGCACACCCTCACCCGTTCGCCGTCCGCCTCTCCACATGTTGGAATACAAGTACATAGCAATTTGGATTCGATGTGGCAACAAACAATTTTTTTCTTTGTCTTTTTTGGGTCCGTGGAAACTTTGTGCATGAGGTCCACTTAGCTGTTCGAATGCATCAATGCTGTACAGAGGAGCGGGCCCCAACGGTGTGGCTGATTTTCCTTAGAATGTATACAGATGATAGACTGGGCAGGTACATTTTGCCCTATTTTCCTGTTTTTCTTTTCTTTTTTTTTTTCTCCTTGTTTTTCTCCTTGCTGCCCCCGTTTCTTTTTTTGTGTTTCTTTCTTCCCAGTTGTCGCTTTTACTGATACAAGTGAACCCTCCGCGATGAAGCCGCAGCCCTGCGCCATCCCCACCCCAGGCACGACCATTGTCACGCCCAGGAGCAGGGCTATGGCAGGATCATTGCCACGTTGTTTGGCGGAGGAGTGGGATGAGGAGGAGTGGGACGAGCGGGAGGATCGGGAGGAGTGGGAGAAGAAGTGGGAGGAGCGGGAGGGGAAATGGGAAGGGGCGGAGGTGGCGCGGGAGGAGGAGCGGGAGGAGTGGGAGGAGGGGAGGAGGGGCTACAGCTGTCTCTTATACACATCTAGATGTGTATAAGAGACAGGTTCAGCCCCCGCGGAGAAGAGGCTCTCTGAAGTTCTTCACGACGACGGAGTTGGGAAGGACGGAGGTGATTGGGAAGGAGGAAGTTGGTAGTGGATGCGA